CTCTGAAGTCCCTTTGCTATTAGTAATTAGACTCCAGTTACAGAATGTGTGTGATCCTTTCTATTTTCCCACCAAGTTATCTCATTCACCCCTTGGTATGTTAAATCATACAAAGGGTTTCATTACAAACGGACTTGCCTAGTTAAATAAAGGTTAAATAAAAAAACAAAAACAAACATTAGCACATTCATATCACTTAGTACTTGGAAGTCCTAAGATCCACCTGTGCCCTGGGCAGCTGTGATAGTGTGATGGAGTGAGTGGGAGCTCAGCCCAGGGTGTGTCTATGTGTTCCTGCTCACAGGGAGAGCACTGGGAGAGAGCACTGCATACTCTGCCTGGGAGGACTCCTGTGGACTAGGAGTGGCGTAGTAGGAGTGGTGCTCACCTCTTACTGTCCTGTAGCCATGCTGTGTTTTACCTGGATACTGGGCTGCTTAATGATGGATTCTTTCCTGCTTGGACTATGCCTGGAGGGTCGATGGAGATCATCTCACAGGGTAGGGAACCACCAGGAAATGTACTGTAGATACTATCGGGAGAATTCACTAACTATAGTTCATAGTAGTCATGATCAGGTTGTAGATTTTAATGTCAAATACATTTGACTTCCCCTACGTCTCATAGACATTGAGATGCTTTTGCCTTGTTAAGATTTTCTTTGCTGTTGTTTAGTTGGCCATTGGGGCATTATACTTTAGCCTGAAGATAGAGACTCCACTAAACAGAGACTCCACTAAACAGATGCATATGACACAAGTTGTTTCTTTGCCAGCACATGTGGGTACGTCATTGTCAAGAAAAGGTTTTCTTATGGCCTTGTTGTAGAAAATCTGAAGTTCACCATCTTTAGTGATCTATCCTAAAGTAGAATGTGACTCCAACGCAAGACGTGGTATGGAAATTATACTTACAGAACAAAGGAAAATGTCAAATATATTATAACTAAAACACCTTATTATTCTAGGGGCCTGTGACATCTTTTGAACCCACTGTTGTACCGCATCTCTGTATTATATCATGGCTCATCCCCCTTTTTACTATTTTACAAATATCCAATTTCCCCCTCTAATAATACACTTCCTCATAACATCTCTGATGATTATATATAGCTCGGGATGATGGAGTGTATTTGCCCAGCTGCATTTTCAGACACATGGCCGGTGAAGAGCATCCTCATACCTGTGTCTAAGCCTTTGATATATGGTCCTCATCATCATTTACTGTTAGGTCAGCCCATCGGATACAGATTTATCCCCTGCCTGGGGGACAGACTTTTCTTCAGGAATCTCTCACATGGTGCTCCATCATACTAGTCTCTGGGTGAAATGGTCTTTGTTGACATAAATCTTCCAGTCTGACCAGTAGATAGAGATGACCTTGTTAGCTAAACGTCTTCCCTCTAATGAAAAGATTTCCTGGCTGCAGAATGCACCGGTCCCCATTCAAACCTCACTGCTACATGATACAGGCACAATGCACTCGTCTCATCAGTCAAGCACTGTTCAGAAAGAATACAAATATTAGAGCTCGTTTATCCCCCTTAAGTCGATGTCCGCACCCCCGTGGAAATGTAATTAGCATAATAAAAAAATCCCCATAAAAATCTGTCAGTTTAAGCTAGAAATATATGTTTTTCTTGCATTGGATGCGACTCAATCCACCGCATCCGCCTATGTCACACCTCCGCATCTGCGGCGAAAGGTGACAGAGCTAGAGAGGTGTTTGTCAGACCTTGAGACATCCCGAAAATCGGTTCTTCTCACAACGGTTTGGCCTACAAACTATTATGACCCCTCTATGGAAAGATGAGCGTCTTGGGACCCCCACAAGCGTTTGGGACTCGTCTGAAGTCGGTACAGCCGATCTGCCAACTTCTGTCTGTAGCATCCAAACAGTTTGGGCTACACACTAATATGACCCCTCTAAGACTCACGAACACGTACATGTCGGTTGTTTTGCTCTAGGACGACCACAGGCCTCACAAGACTCGTCTGAAGGTCCCCCGGTACCAGTTGAAAAAATGAATGGAAGTATATTGTATGTGGGGACTGTTTAATGCCCAAAATAAGGAGTTAAATACATGTAAAAAAATATATATATAGGACAGACACTTCAGAACAAACTTCCTTTTGATTTGTTTTTGAGGACTATTTGTTGTTCCATGTAGTGAATATGTTATTCAATGCACTTCAATGGGCTTATGGCAGTAAGGCGAAATACAATTTTTCGTGAAATATTTGTTAAATATTTTTGGGGATACTTCAAGGGGTCTTAAAATTCAAAATCAAATAGCAAAATGATCCTTGGTATGACCTTCTTAAAACAATTCCATATAGCTTAGTAGAACCCCCTCCCTCCCCCGGCGTAGACTGTAAGGGGTTGTATACATATCATACATGGTTTAAGTTTAGATATTACCCAAAGGATCACTCACCAGGGTTTTGTGTTTGCTTGCACTAAAAGCTAATTATCCTTTATGTACTTATAATGTTTTGTGTGTCTATCTGGCAAGATGTGTTTAGAAATAGATGCATGATTTATGACTTTATAATCAATGTGAGTTTGTACTGTAAGTCCTGTATTATTCTGAGATGAATATGAGGGAGTCATTATTGATCCATTGCAGAGATCAAAGAGTCTGGAGTACAGAGTATTGTATTCCTTGGCCACATGCTCACCTCCAGGTCACACTGTTGAGCAGAGCTCCAGGCCCCCAGACCAATTGTTCCCACAAACCACTCACTCACTGCACTAGTCTGTTCTGTTCTGCTGCAGCCACTGGCAGTAGGCCAAGTATGGTGCCTCTCTGTTACATATGCTAAGTGTGATTTCCCTTAGTGTTTCCATACGTCATCAAATCTCCTATAGGAGGTTTGTGCTTAACATGTATAGCACAAGGCTCTCCCTTGCGCTATCATGCTGTTACTGCTCTGCCTCTTTCTGTAATACAGTGCTTCCACTCTGTGGCTCAGCCTGGAGATGAGAGGCAGAGCTATAGGGAGGTTAAGGAGGTTAGTTGGACAAATAGTTTGAGAGAGAGAGAGAGAGAGAGAGAGAGAGAGAGAGAGAGAGAGAGAGAGAGAGAGAGAGAGAGAGAGAGAGAGAGAGAGAGAGAGAGAGAGAGAGAGAGAGAGAGAGAGAGAGAGAGAGAGATCTATATTATGCACCTACACTGAGTATACAAACACTAAGAACACCTGCTCTTTCCATGACTTTGACTGACCAGGTGATTCCAGGTGAAAGCTATGATCCCTTATTGATGTCACGTGTTAAATCCACTTCAATCAGTGTAGATGAAGGGGAGGAGACAGGTTAAAGAAGGATTTTGAAGCTTTAAGACAACTGAGACATGCATTGTGTATGTGTGCCATTCAGAGGGTAAATGGGCAAGACAAAAAATGTAAATGCCTTTGAACGGGGTATGGTAGTGCCAGGCGCACCAGTTTCCCGTGTGTATCAAGAATGGTCCACCACCCAAAGGCCATTCAGACAACTTGACACAACTGTGGGAAGCATTGGAGTCAACAACACCGCATCCCTGTGGAACGCCTTCGACTCCTTGTGGAGTCCATGCCCTGATGAATTGAGGCTGTTCTGAGGATGGGGGGTATATATGTAATTGGGGAAATGTTGATCTATTTTATGCTGTCTCAGTCATTTGTTGTTGTTCATTTTATGGAACTGTTTGATAGAGATGTATCTGTTGTGGGTGAGTGACCATTCTAGATGCTGTGTATGAGGGGCATCTTATGTGGCTGCAACCATTAACCATAGTTTTCTCTTTCTCTCTTTGTAGGATCCCTCCCTCCCAGAAGGCAACTCTCCTATCTCCCAGCACTCAGCCACCCTACAACAAGGGAATGGGCTTGTGGTAGTTGATGATGCAGACCCCTCTATCCTTACCTTACACCACCCTGGAATAGGTGGCCATGACAGCAAGTACCCCTTTACAGTCACAGCCTTGGATGAGAACATCACCACAGACGCAGATGACTGGCCACAACATGGCATCATCGACCTGGACTCCCCCGAACCCTCGCCCAGTCTCCAGAGGAAACGCCCTGATCGGAAGAGCCCATCCCAGTCTGGCCACCCTGACCCCAGTGTGTTAATGGAGGAGAACCTGTTGCCTCCTGCAGTGGAGCAGGGAAGGACTAACAGTGGCTCTCTCACACAGAGGGCCCAGGGGAAGAGTGAGGGGGTCGGGCAGGCTGGCTCTGACCACACAGGCTTGCTGACAGTGGCACCCAGTGAGGTTGATGTCATAATTGGATCTGACAATAGGATTTACAGGCTCCTGAGTGGCCCTCCAGGGCCAGTTGGCCCTCCAGGAAAAAGAGTAAGAATCTCTCAGCGAAACACACAGTTTTTAGAGTCAGAAATGCTCATATAAATATAATCAGGACTCATACTCCACATACAACCGAAGTCAGTGATTTCACACAAACAAAGAGATGTTTACTGAGCATATGATTTTATGGAGACAGGAAGCAGAAGAAACTGACAATTGAGAGGGGAACTTAGAATAGGGAACAGTCATCCTCATGAGAAGTACTGTATGTCTTCAGGGGTTTATTCAGCTGTGGTTTTCTTGTAAAACACTGATATCTTTGTCTCTATTGGAAAATGAAAACATCAGTGGTTTATAACTGCCTCTAATTTTAATTCAAATATTTCCCACTGCAGCTCACGTAATGCCAAAAAACTAACTCCCTTTAATCTTTCAATTTTTTTATTGCTATAAGTACAGGTTACGGAAATACTGTACAAATGCTGTGGTTGAATCTACCCATAGGACATGGACACAGGATTCATGCACTTTACAAAATTACAGGAGAGGAAATAAGCATCTCAAAAAGATGTGGCATTAATATGGTACTGCAGACCAAAATGTACACTTTGCCACTCTGTTGCATCATCTTATAGTTCTATTGCCAAACCGTGATCTTTTCAGGTTGTTCCAGTATTATTATAACTTCCTGTAAATATTTGTCCCTATGTTCACCACATTGTCATTCCTGCAGGGATGTGCTGGCAGAGAAGGTCATCTTGGGTTTAAAGGAGAGAAGGTAAAGGAATAGATCTCTGGTGAAATAATTGTTTGGAACATTTTTGAGTAATGATGAATAAGAATGACTTATGGATGTAATATTTTTGGTATGTGAACGTATTTCTTAAGTCTGTGTTGTGACTTGCAGTTGGTTGAGCATCATCACTCATTGTCATAGACTGCTCTGTTATCTGTGATCTCAGGGTGTCAGAGGGCAGGAGGGCAGTAGAGGTGAGACAGGCCTCCCAGGTCCTCCAGGCCTCCCCACCCTCTACCTGTGGAGGAACACCCAGGTGGACTGGACTTCCTTCAGGGTAAGATTCTTTCTGTCGTTCCAGTGTCCACTGTCCACCTATCTCACAGCAGCCTGCCTGGGAGTGTTATGAAACTTAATGTAACCATGCAGTTTTGGCGCATGTGCTGTCAAAGAATAGCTTGATCTCCCAGTTCACCAGAACATGGTGTTGGATGTGCGTCACAGCAGAGCAGCAGCCAAGACCGCCCACTGCTCTGGTCCTGGCCCTGGCCCTGACACTGACCCAGCCATGGCAGTATTCTCACCAGACTCCCCTGTCAGGCTATTTCGGACTGGAAATTTCAGCCTGCCTTAATACCACAGTCCTCAACTCCACCCAGGTTGCTGTAATTGAAGGCTGTTGTATATGTTATCTTATGATGATTAAAGTTGATTGCTGCAATTTTGTAAGTGCGTCAACGTGGCAGATAAGTTACTGGAAGTATATTTTAGGGATCAACAGGAAAAGTTGTATTTAATTTTTAAATGGATACGTTGTATTCACACAGTACTTTCTTGAGTCGTGTTTATCTCTCACATCTTGATGCTGGAGTGTATTTCCCCAACCTCATCGTGACAGAAATACATTGCTATGTGATTAGATTAGGCAAGTATGAAGGAGACTAAAGCATGTCCCAGCTCCGTCAGGAACACTGATGTAGCTAGCTACAGTAATGAGGCTTGATGTGTCAGCGGATGGTGCATTGTAACCGCCAGTATGATGCCACGGTTTATCCCCTGTGCTTTGGTTTCCCCCTCTCTCTCCAGTGACTACAGGCCCAGAGCTGTGTGAATGTTCCACGGTGTTGCTGGCAGCTGGGAGCACACTGGGGTCTGTGACAGATTGAGATTTGACTTTGAGCAAACATTTTATTTGTTTATTTGGATCCCCATTAGCTTTTGCAGAAGCAGCAGCTACTCTTCCTGGGGTCCACAAAAAAAACAAAAAAGCATGACACGTAACGAAACACTGATACACACATTTTAAATACAATGACATACAAACAATACAAAAAATAAATAATGTGCATGTTAGCGTGTCTGTGTGTTTGTGTGTCCCCTCACAATCCCCGCCGTTCCAAGTGATGCTGTTTATTCTGTTTTTTAAAGGTAATTTTACTGTTTGCTTGAGTTATTGGAGATGGAAGGGAGTTCCATGCGATCATGGCTCTGTATCAGTAGAGGCTGCTGAGTGGAGGACGGCTCATAATAATGGCTGGAACGAAGCCAATGGAATGGCATCAAACACATGGAAACCATGTATTTGATACCATTCCACTTATTCTGCTATGGCCATTACCACAAGCCCGTCCTGCCCAATTAAGGTGCCACCAACCTCCTGTGCTCTGTAAATTACTGTGCGTTGCTATGAATTCGTTTTGGACTTGGGGACGGTGAAGAGACCCCTGGTGGCATGTCTTGTGGGGTATGTATAGGTGTCTGAGATTATGCAGACAATCCAGAATTTTTATCACAGTAATATTTCTCATAAAAACTAGAAGAGAAGCAGCTAGTCTCTCGTCAACCGTCAACCAGAAAAGACTGGCATGTATGTTGTTGATGTTAGTTCTGTATGTGCAGTGAAGGCAAGGCGTGCTGCTCTGTTTTGAGCCAGCTCCCTGAACAACTAGTACAGTTGATTTTTGTGTAAAATATTTAGAACAGACATACCCCTCCCCATCTTCACAACAACTTTGTCAATATGACTTGACCATGACAATTGACCATCCAATGTTATACCTAGGAGTTTAGCTTCCTCAACTTGCTCAATGTTCACACCCTTTATTCGCAACTCCAGTTGAGGTTTAGATCTTAGAGAATGTTTTGAACCAAATACAACTATTTTAGTTTTAGATGTATTTAAGACCAGTTTATTTATTAATAACCCATTCTGATACTGACTGTAACTCCTTATTTCGAATTTGGCTTTGGGTGCTGAAATGCATGTAGAGTGTGGAATCATCCGCATACATAGTCATTGTAAGAGCAGTGACAAATTATTTGTAAAAATAGAGAAGAGTAACGGCCCAAAGCAACTGCCCTGAGGGACACCGCACTGTACATATCTGTCAATTGCCCTGAGGGACAATGAACTGTACATATCTGATGTTAGAAGAACTCTCCTAAAATAGAATGTGACTCCAATGCAAGACGTGGTATGGAAATTATACTGAAGAACTCTCTGGGTTCTATTGGATAAATAACTCTCCAACCATGTGATGGCAGTTGATGTAAAGCCATAGCAAGTGATTTTCTTCAATTATAATTTATCGATTTATCAATAACATCAAAGGCTGCACTGAAATCTATCAATACAACTCCAACTATCATCTTGTTATCCGTTTCTTTTAACCAATCATTAGTAATCTGAGTCAGTGCAGTACAAGTTGAGTGCACTTCTCTACATGCATGCTGAAAGTCAGTAGTTAACTTGTTCTTTGAAAAATAGCATTGTATTTGGTCAAACACAATTCTCTCCATCAGTTTACCAAGAACAGGCAGCAAACTGATTGAGCGGCTGTTAGAGCCAGCAAAGGGTGCTTTACTATTTTTAACTAGAATTACTTTAGCTTTCTTCCACACCTGTGGACACAGACCCTCCTTTAGGCTTTGGTTAAAGATATATAAAATAGGGGTGGCAATACAGTCTACTACCATTCTCAACACTTGCATGTTTCCCTCTCAGCAGTATTGGTGAAGTAGCTGACTTTTATTCCATATACTGTAATAGTGTAGTAGTTGAGCCTGTATGAGCCCAAATCTACCTGGGAACTCTTATAACATCTGAACCGCATTAGTGTGCTTACCCTTACATACAGCAGCATCTGCATTACAGTGTAGTTTTAACATGCTGTTGTTAGTGTTATTTTCTTATTGCAGGTTTCGTTCACATGATGTAACCTCTCTGTCTCATATTATTTCAATGACCTCTGCTTGTTTTTTCCAGCGATCATCCTTCTACCATTTGCTGCGGGCAGGCTGGCCTGTAAGTATCACAGCTCAGCTATGAGTACTGTAATACAGTGAGTCAGAGATGCTGTGTGTGTCTGAGTGTGTTACTAATGGACCTCTTCCTGTTAAATCCTCAGACAGAACAGGGTCTTACTGGACCGATAGGGGAAATGGGAAAGCCTGGCCTACCAGTGAGTGGTATATCCATTTACAGTACACTAATCACTAATGAACTATGAGTCATATGCCCTTGCATGGACCTATTAATACAAAGCCATTTATGTAAGTGTAGATGACTGATAGATGCTGTCTTTGTGCAGGGAATTCCTGGAGATCCTGGCCACAGAGGAATGGCAGGACACAGGGGAGACATGGTAATATTAACAATGCAATTAGCAACTTGTTATACAGATGTTCTTCTAGTTGAAGATCTAATTCTAGTTGCGTTTACAAGACTCAGTATTCTCTACCGTCTGAAATCTGCTAGACTTTGTGGCCTTTTTCTAAAAGCAGTTAAATATATGAATCATGCCTGGTGTTATGTCTATGTGCCAGGGTTACCCTGGGCCGAAGGGCGTGCAAGGGCGAGCAGGAACCTGGGGGCGAGATGGCGGGCATGGCCTGGATGGACAGCCAGGGCCACCGGGATTCCCTGGCCTTCAGGTAACACCAAATACATTCAGATGGCATGTATGTTACATATTTAACGCCAGTCAATACATTTGAATTGAGTAAATTCAAAGGCATTACTGTGTTAACTCATATAAGACAAGATTTTATTGGATTGAAAGGAGAAAAAAACTAAGTAGCTAGAGCTGTAATGGTGGTGGTTTCTATTTCAGGGTGCTAGAGGCTATAAGGGAGAGAATTCTCCTCCAGGGGGGAGAGGAGATGAGGTGAGAATGGCAGTTGAAGGTACACTACATGTCTGCACGGTACTCAGTACTACTCAGTAGCAAAATGTCAGGTTAGTGCAGGGAAGTGGCTGTCAAACAAGCACTCTTCTCCAAAATATGCCTACTGTCAGATCTCATATGTCATAGAGTATATGTTCCGTGTGGCTCAGTTGGTAGAGCATGACACTTGGAATGCCGGGGTTGTGGTTTTGATACCCACGGGGGACCAGTACGAACAAATATGAAAATGTATGTACTCACTACTGTAAGTTTCTCTGGATAAGAACGTCTGCAAAATAACTCAAATGTAAATGTAAAAAAATACCCAGTCAGTGGAAACAACCAGAATGACTTTAGGGCCAGGAGTTTTTCCTGACCAGATGACCTGGAATACCATCAGGCCCTAGTAATAAGCCGTCATCATTTAGAGTCTATAACATTCTGTTAGTTACTGGATTCTATTCCCCTATGATGATGATGACCAATTCCACACAAAAGCTGCCTGGTTTCCAAACAGTAGGTTAGTGTTTTTCGTCATAAATCTTGTTCTGCGATTGTTCATCTCCCCTACCTCTTCGCGCCCCCCTCCCCCTGCCGACCCCTCGCCCCACAGTTTGGGAACCACTAGTTTATAGTAACATCACTGGCATCTCCCGTGTCTCTCCCCACTCAACTACAGGGTTTCACTGGTGAGACAGGCCCATGGGGAGACACAGGAAAGACTGGAGAGAAGGTAACTTTTTAAATATCCAATTTATTTGAACTTTTTCACGATCCAACTTTGTTATACTCAAAGTGGAAGTAGGTGTATGTTATGCTGGATATGTACATACGAGTGTTATTGCATTGCCCTCTTTTGGATGGATGCTTTGCTCACCACAAGAGCTTATAGCCTGTTAGGAGCATGCTTGTATTTTTTGTGCTTTCACTTTCAAAGGCATACTTAGAATAGTTGTCTAAATTATATTGATTATACTGATTCACTTTTCATGCTCATCTGTAGCCTATGCGTAGGTAGTACTGTAGTTTTCCCTAAGTGTAGACATATTTCTTGCTATGTTCTCCAGGGTTCTAAAGGGGAGCCAGGAGAACTGGGTTCTGTTGGCCCAATTGTGAGTAGAACACTTCCAACCTCTGGCTCTCAAGTGCTGTCAAGTGCTGCTGTATTGACTGTGCTGTTGGCAATACATTTATTAATTAAAACCTCTTACAGTGCCTTGCAAAAGTATTCAGTATCCTTGGCGTTTTCCCTGTTTTGTTGCATTACAACCTGTAATTTAAATGGATTTTTATTTGGATTTCATGTAATGGACATACAGTTGAAGTCGGAAGTTTACATACACCTTAGCCAAATACATTTAAACTCAGTTTTTCACAATTCCTGACATTTAATCCTTGTAAAAATTCCCTGTCTTAGGTCAGTTAGGATCACCACTTTATTTTAAGAATGTGAAATGTCAGAATAATAGTGTGTGTGGGGGGGGGGGGGGTGAATAGTTATGCACGCTCAAGTTTTCAGTTTTTTTGTCTTATTTCTTGTTTGTTTCACAATAAAAAATATTTTGCACCTTCAAAGTTGTAGGCATGTTGTGTAAATCAAATGATATAAACCCCCAAAAAATCAATTTTAATTCCAGGTTGTAAGGTAACAAAATAGGTACTGTAAATGTAATGGCAAAAATGTAGATTTCCGCCTAAATAGACATACCCAAAAGTATTTTCTAATTATGTGTAATTACATGATTCTGACATGCAAAAAGTTGGTATATTTAGAAAGAAGATATCTGGGAAATTATGAGAAAATGATCAGAAGATAGATAGGAGTTACATAGTTCAGAATACACAAGATCAAGCACACACAAAATAACTGTTTTTTACTTTTTCTATTTTGAAAGTCATATTTCATTGACAAGCTATACGTATATTATTGACTGATAGAGCTGGAAACACATCAGATGGCTTCCACAACATGTGAACAATATCAGGAAAAAAAATGGGATTGATAGACCTAACAACTAGAAATGGGCAGATGTTTTAATAAGTGGTGTCAGGTCTGGTCACGGGACGTTTCCAAGTATCCCTAAACCTCTCCAAAGTGGCATATGTCTGTAAATTAGATAATTCCAGTGCTATTACATATTTGCAATCACTAAATGATATTTGTTCAGTATAAGAACACAATTTCTACCATAACAACCTCACTAAAACATTGTGGTGGTGTTATGTAGTATCCAGGGTACATTCAAGTGTCCTTTCAACCTCTCCAAAGTGTCTGAATGTGGTAATTGCACTGTCTGTGCACACTGGACATGCCTAAAAGTTATTGTTCACTATAAAAACTAAATTTCTACAACACCAACCTATCTACAACATTGTGGTGGTGTCGGGGGACATACAGGGGTTATGGATGCCTACAGCGTATAAGCAGCATCATATTTTTTATGCGCAAAGATATAGTCACTCGGTGGACATTCGATGTTGCCATTAAGTCATACATCATCAGATAACATATTTAGCAATAGGCTAGATTTGTTCCTACCAATCTAAGGAATACATTTGATACCCCCCATGTAGCTATAGCTCAAACACAGACCAAATCGAAGCTTACCTTGTAAGATGTTTGCTGTTTGGTGAAAACGTTGTGTAAAATAAACATTTTGACTCTCGGGGCTGGTGATCAATAATGGTAGGTCACATGCAGACAAATAAGATATCTTCATGATCTGTGGAGTCCCGGCTTTCGGTGTGTATCAACGTATTCTGTGTTTATTTCGTTTATGCTTCACGACGCTAACCGGAATGTAGGTAGCAGCCATCTTGAAATGAGGTCATCGGCTCAGCCTGCCCTCATAAATCCGTATGCCCATATATGGTAGTAAGTCATACCAAAGATTTGAAGGCACCGATCAATAGCCAAGATACTCAGCTTTCTGCAGACATCCTGCTTTTGCAGATCGAGGCTACCGTTCTCATACCAGATCGAATTGAATAAAAATAAATAAAAAAACTGTTTTAATTTCAGGGGCCGGTTGGTAAAAGAGGAGCCCAAGGGTTTTCAGGGCCACCTGGGCCCCAGGTAAGACTTTGCATAACAATCCATAATCCTTACGGCACACAGCTGTGTTACAATCCATGCAGACACACTATTTGATGGTGGGGTCTTCTAGATCGCCCTCTACATGACTCTCTTCTCGTTAACTATGTTTTTCAGGGCGATTCCGGGTATGATGGTGCCCAAGGTCCACTTGGGCCAATGGTGAGTGTAGGGGTGCCATGCAAACACTGACGGTTCACTATCTCATCTACCTACCTTACCTCCGCAGTCAGCACACACTTGATTTGGCAAATCAGTGCAGACGTACCACTTGCAGAGGAAGAAAATGGATGATGGTTGTTGTTTTTTAATGTTTGCATATTCACACATGTACTGTATGTGCCCGAACAGGGGGTTCCAGGTGTGACTGGCATGATAGGAGCACAGGGGGCAAACGGCTCAAGGGTCAGTATTTCGTATTTACCAATGCACAGTGGACAGTGTATTATATTGAAATGTGTTAGACAAGAGATGAATAACATCCTGTGTAAGGGTTTGACTGTCTCTCTGCTGTGTTCCTCACAGGGAGAAGCAGGGCCAGCTGGACCACCTGGCTGTAAAGGGGCCCCAGTACGTGTCTGTTTTATTTCTGTCATTGAGTCTTCCTTTTTTCCTTTAGACATTTATTCAAAGCGAATCAACAAGGCCAACAAGTCATTCTTCACGTATTGTTCTTCTCATAGGATCCCATAGGATTGTCAGGACAGAGAGGCTCTCCTGGACTACGAGGAATCCAAGTAAGACGTCCCAGCTAATTTGCACAGCAAATACACAGGTTCTGTATCTATAACTTTCACTTGATCATTATGAGTTTCGATATACTGAGTCAAGAAAATAGGTGACATTATGTGATTATAGATAGTAATTTTCAGTTGATACAATAATAGCACTGGTGAAAATCTCAATGTTCTCGCCAGCTGCATCAGACATTGGAGGTTACTTGTTGTGTTTTCCTGGTATTCTCTTAGTAAATGTCCAGTTAACTCTTTAGTATTTGGCATGGTCTAGTCCTAATGACTGCTCCTGCACACCGAACGCTGGCTCCTGGCAAGCAGAGTAAGACGGCGGTGTAGAGGTGAAAACCTATTCTTTTAAATATCCATCTCCTGGCTAGTCTCAGTCTAGTGCAACATTAACCATATCCAGATGGCCTCATGAAAAGACAGAACCATGTGATTCAGGTCCTGGGGCAGGCCTTATAATCATATTGTTTAGTATTGCAATGATGCGTATGATGATTTAGATGTACTGTATTATCTATTTGTAACAGGCTCTGACATACACAATGTGTGTGCATACAATTGGCCTACCAGCATATACTGTAGCTTCACCATGTCAACATTTTATTTTGCTGAAACAGTATTGAATGTTGTCATGTATTTTGTTCTCAGGGACATCCAGGGATGGATGGTCTTCCGGGTCAAAAAGGTGACATGGTATGTTCAGCCACGTTACTTTAATTCAATGAATCTCTTGGCAAAAGATACATAGGCCCAGCCATAAATCAACCGCTACCTCTATCCCCTAGACAATTGTCGATGGCACCTGGTAGGGAGTTGGTTTAGTCTGTCTCAAATTGGTCATGTTGTGTGTGGTAAATTAAATTGATTTACAAAAGCTGAAGAACATACGCACATCAAGGTACTTTCCGCAGGTGCTGGAGAAAACAGAAAGGAA